TAATCAGTGGCATTGCTGGAAAAGGGGCAGGGGCAGCCTGCAAAACGGCATTCACTATAAAGGGTGCGATCTGTTGGGAAGCCTTTCTCTATGGGAGGGCTCCAGGCGGAGGCTCTAAGAGGGAGAAGACAGAGGCCTGCATCATTTCTCCCTGGGGAGGGTACCATTCCCGCCCCCAGCCCCCTGCTTCACCTATGTAAAAATTGCCAAACTTCAAACACTCCTAACAGCAAAAAAGAAGAAAAAGAAGAAAAAGCCACACCTGAAACCAGCGGAAGTTCTAACACAGCCTTCTCTGTGCTCCATTTTTAATAATCATGGGAAGGGTTTGTTCAGTTCTTTGCCTTGAGGCATATAAAAAATAATGCCCTTGTTTACCCTCAAAGGCAGAGTCCATTCTAACATGCTGCTGCTTTCATAGATCTTGTAAAAACAGTGGATCCAACACACCTCAGACACGGGATCAACTCTCCTGAAGTCATTGTCTGCCAGAGGTTGCAGGAGAACCTGTGCCCCTCCTGAGATTGTTGGATTGCAGCTCCCATCCTTGCAGACCCATGCCAGCTGGGGCAGATGGGCGAGGGAGTCCAGTAACATCTCCCTGAGAGTCTTTCAAGGGATGCGACCATAACCGCCACGAGACGATCCATGATATTTCCTTGTCCACAGACTGCCTGAAAATTTGTGTGAATCCAGGAGGAGAGATGGAGAGAGAGAGAAGAGAGAAGCTATTTTCAAAATAATGAATCTTAAGAAGGCCATTAAAGTTGTAGACCTCCTCTTCATTATTTCTCTTTAAGGTTATTTATTAACCCAGAATGGCTCTTCCCATATTTCTCCTTTATTTGCAGTCTCCCCCGGGCTAAAGTGTTATCTATTTATCTTGCAGGTTAGCATTCTTTTTATGGTGTTCCTGGAGTTATATACTGCCCTTAATTTTATTAGTTTGTGTTGTATATTAAATTATGCCAAACAAATTGTGCTGCATTAGAAAGGGAAGGGTTTTCCTTCACACACCTCCTCCAGCCAAGAGAGGATCTGAGCGCCTTGTCTGCCAGTGACCACTGGGCGAGCGAAGGGTTGGGGCATCCAGCAACGTACTGGCTGCCCTTCCTGCAAGGTCTCCTGCAAGCACAGATGACCTCCAGCCTCCTTCAAGGGGCGTGCCCCTTGTCAGAGAATCCCGAAATCTCAGTTCGTGAGGAGGAAATAAAACTCAGGTCCGTGGGAAAGATCAAGCGTTCAGACCATCTGTGGCTTTATTGTTTGGCCCAGGTTCCCACAGTAGACTCACGATAATGCATTACCGGGCGGGCAGAGGTAAACTCGCTGCAAGGTTGCAATACAACTACAGGGTATTTTATACCCTTCTGGTCACGTACAGGTACAGAGCAATTGATGACAGAATGCAGACATTACAATAAGATTCTGAGGTCGTCACATACAGAGCAGATAAAGGAAGATCAACCAATCATACAGTGACAATGAGATTACAATATTTCTAATTGCAGTGTATTGACACTTCAGTTGAGTAACTTGAACCCATCTCCAGATCTGCTTAGACATGTAAATTCAAGCTACTGAGAAACTATTCATGAACTCATAAGCTCATCCAGACTCAGACCCTAAGTAATGCATCCGCACCATTCTGAATAGCCAGGGCACAGGGAGCCCTCTGGCCTAGAAAAAGATACTTCCTGGTAAACCGTGAATTCCAACAAGGATTATTTAATCATTGTGAAGGTATATAATGTAGATTTGGACTACATGGCCTGTCTACTGTAGCTTACAGCTAAAGGTGAGAGAAAGGAGCGGGTGAGGAAGGTCATTCTGAACAGTGACTTAGCTTGGTTTGAGAAGGAGCGCAGGATTGATCCCACAATGCAAAAGCACACAGAAGCAATGTTTTTCTGACAGGATTTATCCAAATTTTCCCAACACCCTCTCTGGAATCCTTAACACCCCTAAGAATAGAGACAGGTGGGTTGCGTATTTTGAAACCCCAGACAACTCAGGCATGGGTGCTTCATCCCAGCAGCCCAAGGGGTGGCCCTGGGTGCGACCAGAAACAACCACAGCACCTGGTGGAGCGAAATTTGGAGCTCTGCAGCATCTTCCCACCTCTCCTGGGAGGGCTGGCAGAAGGCGCTTCTTCTTTGTAGAGGCATCCAGTCCATGGCTGGAAGGGACTGCAGAGCACAGGCCGGGAAGCTGCCAGCTGGCAGACCGAGTGAGCTGCAAGCAACGGCTCCCCGGCTCCGTCTCCCGTTCGGTGCCACGCTTTTTTGTATAAACCAGGGGTGGGGGGTGTTGGTTGCTCTAAATGCCTGCCCTGCAGCTCCCAGCATCCCCACCCCTTAGCTAAGCTTGCAAAGCTTCCTGGGGGTTATAGGCCAGAGTGGCTCACCTCTGCTTTAAGCCACAAGTATTTCCGAATTTGCCCGTACGTATGAATTTGCATCTGAGCACGATGTAAGCGGGCGCCCTTCTTGCCGGCGGGGCTTTCCTTGCGACTGGGTGACGAATAACCCTCGCCCTTTCAGTATGCCCGTTGCCGGGCCCGGCTTCCTTTCCCCAGGAGCATGGGCATCTGTTCCATGCAGCTTTCCCTCTGCTAAATTCGAGCTGCCCGCTGCTAATTAAATTCTGCTTCTCGAGCACTTTCCCCACCGCTAAATCCCGCAAATCAAATCACCCCCAGCTCCTCCGCGCTGAGCTAGCCAGCCTGTAATCCCCTCACCTCCTCGAGTGATCCTTCCTGAATGCAGCTGGGTCTGGAGCTTTCCTCTGGATCTCGGGAGCCCAACCTGTCAGCAGAGGAGAGAGTCTAAAAATACCACTTAAGACCTTAGCTAATTTCTAATCCTCACTTGCTGCTAAGATGCCTGCCTGGGCAGATGGTTCCCTTCTCTGCCTGGATTTACCGCCTTCCCTAAGAATCGCAAATCCTCCGCACAACCGCGCCTTTTGTCATCGGGAGATGGACTCCTCCTGCATCAAAGCGCGTGGGACGTGATCCTGGTCTTAGCCTCCGGAACAACTTAAGCCAAATGACTGTGCAGCGCCCCACCTTCACTCGCCTCCAGCGCGGCTACAAGGCGGACAGGTTGGGCCTGGGCAGGACCTCCCTTCCTGTGGGGGACGCAGGTCCCCTGTGCTTCTTGGGCATCTCTGAGGGGGGCTTCCCTGTTAGCAGAGCAGGAGAAGCTCAGGGTCCAGGGTCACAGAAGAGCAAGGGGGTCCACCTCGCCCAGCATCCTGCCCACACAGGCCAACCATTCAATGTATGGCAGCAATCCCATGTCATGCTGTCATTACATGTATAGTACTAAATTTATATCATCTGCATTAATATCTAGCATAGGTTTTACTCTAAAAGCTCCATTCTATTTATACACACATTTATAGGCTGCCTTTAACTCCCGAGGCCTTCTCAGGTGGCTTACAATACACATGCGTTTGTTTTGTGTAATGAGAACTATAGCACAAATTCAGAGCAGCATAAAGACCACCCGGGATCTGCACCTATTTTTTCGTATTCTCCATTCATTCCCCGCCTTTCTTCCTCTTGCCAGGAGCTCCAGCCAGCCTCCAAGCTTCTCCTCTTCTCCATTTAATCCCAACAACAACCCTGTGAGGCAGGGCCGTCTCGACAGCATGACGGGCCCCGGGCAAGGCAGTGTCCTGGGGCCACGACGACAACGACAACTACCGTTAATTTTGGAAGTTTTCCCATTTTCCAAGGGTTAATACCTAGATTGGTACGGGGCCCACAGGCAAGTGCCCATCAGGCCCCTGGGTTCAGACGGCCCTGAGAGTCTGAACAACAACCCTGTGAGGCAGGTTAGACTGAGAGTCACTGCCTGGCCTGAAGTCACCCAGTACGAGGACTCCCGGCTCTCAGTTCGGCACTCTGACTGTGCTTGTTCCTTCACAACACACGCATGAGTCAGAGCGGCACTGGGAGGAGATGAGGCAGTTGGAGGAACACAGGATCCCCATCTCTGGCTTTCACTGTGAAACACGGCATGCGCTTGGCTTAGCCACCGTCACTGTCCTTACGGTGGCATTTTTGAACCTGTGAAGGCCCTGTTGAAGCGGGTGAGGGCAGAGAGGGGGTCATGAGGAGTCACTACTCTGGGGGAAATTTTGAAAATGCACGGGGAAACCCGCTTTTCTGAGGGGTATTCTGAGCTCTTACGTCTTGAAGGCTTCAATCGGTTCTCTAGCCAGTCACCTTTTCATGGATCTCAGTTACGCGGAAGGCAGGTGCCCCGGAGACAAGAGGGTCCCAGGGTTGTTGACGGCTATTTCTTGGAAAGCATCTGTGCCACCAAGTGGCTAGTGGTGGGCGGGAAGCTGGCCTCCATCTGCCCTCAGATGGCAAGGATTTCTGACCCCCAATTATTTGCCAAAGCGGCATCAGAAGGACTCCTTTCACACACACACCTAGATTATACTACGGAGATGAGGAAGGCTTGAGGTTACGAGCCGCGGATGTCTGTGTGGAAGGACTGTAAGCAGTGCCGGTTCTGGTACTCCAGGCAAACTCTCCCATGCTGGTGTCTCTTTTGGGCCAAATTATGGCTTCCGGTCCCCACTCAGCCATGAACGTCCCTGGGTAATTTTGGGCCAGCCACGGAGTCCCGGATGGACGCACTTCACAGGGCTGTTGTTGGGAGGGTCAAAATGGAACTATTTAAGACCCCAGGCAGGGGGAAAGACCAAGGCAAAGCAAGCATGGGAAAAGTCACACCGAAAATGTCGCTCCGATTTTATCCCTTGCTGCCTGATCCTAAGCACGCTTGCTCGGGAGTAAACCTCCCCGGTGCCAATGGGGAGCTGAAGCCCCGTTAAAGTCAACGGAGCCGCCCCCGCCCCCGGGAAGAGAACCATGACTCAGCGCTCGCGCGCTCTCCCTCTGCGCGGCGCGGCCCAGCCCTGCGTCAGCGCGCCGTGATTCAGCAGAAACTCGGAGCACGTCTCGGATTGGTCGGCTGCGGGTGTGACGTCGGCGGGGACTCATTCATGCGGGGAAGCGGAAGTGTAGAGTGACTCAGCAAAGGTGATTCAGGTATATGTGGTGGCGGCGCTCCGTTGATTTCGAGAGGTGGGCGAGCGTGTGGACCTGGTGAATGAAGGTAGTTTAATTAAGTTATCTTTTATTCTTGGTTTTTATCCTTCCCCCCTTCCTTTAAGTTTCCGTTTACTAGCTGGACAATGTTTATGTTTATGGCATTCTGTATCTTAGGTTTCTACTTTATGCCTGTTTTTATAGTTAAGTTTTTGTGATCGAAGAACTTTGATAGGGGATGGAAATGTAATACAATATACGTGATTGGGTCTTTGGCTTTATACTAAACACGGATGTTGGTTTCTGTGAAATGTATGACCGGAAAAACAGCTGATTGTCCGCTGTTTTCTCTTGTGGCATTTACTAGAAAGAATATTTTTGCTTGTCTCTTTTCCCCATTGAATGCGAACTAGTGTTTTGCACTCACTAAATTAATGCAAATTTCCATTTTATTTATTTGGGCAGTGATTCTTAGGTTGCCACGGACAACTGGCTATTTTGAAATCTCGTATGAAAAGCGACTTCCAGCGTGGAGACTGGAGTTTGGAAGTTTTGTTGTGTCTGGTGTGCCCGCCTGCTAGAAAGCGCAAGCATTTGAGCGGGTGATCCCTCTCCTTGAAGGAGCAGAGACATCTAGGGTGGCTTTCTAATAATGGAATTCCCGGACCTGGGTAAACACTGCTCTGAGAAGACTTGTAAGCAGCTGGGTAAGAACTGACTGATACAAGGTGGTCTGTATTTAGACTCACCACAATCCTAATTCTAATATTAATGGTGGAGAATCTTCATGTAAGCAGCTGGAAGAGCCCACCACAGTCCAGAGAAGCTTGCAAAGTTTAAACAAGTAAATGAGAGTGTTGCATTGCATAGCTCTCACGTGTCTTCGTTGTTAAAACCCACCATAACAGTGGCTGCTTTATTTAAGATGTGTATCTCTTGGCCTTCACAGAGGCTTTATGTATCAAAAGAATGCAGCCCTTGCCCCTGAGGACTTGCAATTGAAAAAGGGAGGGGAAGGAGAGAGGAAAGCAGAAAATAAGCATATCAGTCATTCATGTCTGTAAATTGACCCCCCACCCCCCCCCCCCCGCTGGGTTTGGGATTGAAGCCAAGCATTTCAAGGGCAGATCGGTGTATGTAAACTACTAGAACCAATGTGGTATACTGGATAATGTGTTGGAAGTAGGGATTCCGATTTATTTATTTATTTTCCGATTTATATCCTGCCTTTTTCCTACAAAGGGCTCGAGGCAGCTTACATCATTCCCCTCCTCCATCTTATCCCCAGAACAACAACCCTGGGAGGTAGGCTGGGCCGAGAGTCTGTGACTGGCCCAAAGCCCCCCAGTTGGCTCCATGGCCGAGCAGGGACTCGAACCTGGATCCTCTGAGTCCCAGTCCCACGCTCTTAACCACTACACCACACTGCCTCTCAGAGTAAATTCTACTCTTGTGTAAGTCTCTTGGGTTGCAAATATATGTGCATTTAGCATAGAGTAAATTCTATTAAATTCAGTGGGACTACCTTCTGAGTAGACGTGTAAGAGATTGCACTGTTAGTGACTGGACCAAGACAGCAGTTGCTGAGTCTGATGTGTCTAAGGGGGTTGTGTTCTCTTTTTAATTACAAACTGTTTTGAACATTAATTTATTGGAAGCATTGGGTAAAAAAAAAAAAAAACCTTATGATTAGCTGCCTTGAGCAATCTTTGAAGGTACAACTGCTTATAATACTTAAAGGCGTCCAAGAAATGCAGTTGTAATTGGTAATTTAAAAAAAAACACATTTCTTTAAATAAACAGAAATGTTTGACAGTTTTCCAGGGGAATATTTGGCTTTTTGGAGACGGTTAAATGTAGCCTGTTGCTGTAAGACAACCCTACATTTAACGATCCTATTTTTATTTCTCTGTTACATTTTTAAGCAGGCCGGTAACCTAAGCTCTCAACGCAGTACGCAAATTAAAATGTAAAAATGTAAAATAGCAGGAAAATGAGTCAAGGAAAAACAAATTAAACTAGGTGGGAAAAAAGCCAAGATAAAATTAGTTTATGACATCAGCAGTAGGGATAAAGGAATGCAAAAGTTTAAACGCACTAACCCTGTCCTTAAAATTTGAGGGGAAATAAAGCTCACCCGACACTGAAAAGACCTTGGCCAAACTTTGGCAGTGAACTGCTTGACGAAGGACATTGCACAGGTGAAAAACCACTGTGGACCCTGGCTCTCCAATGGAGCTGCTGGCTGCTTATTTGGTGGGAGCAGCTGGGAAAGGGATTTTGAGGCGTTGCAAAAGGAATTCTCCTGGGCATCAAAATGGCAAATACGCTTTAACACCTCAGCTTTGCCCACGGGCTAACGGGATGTGAGCTGGAAGAGACGGTCAAGGAAGGGATCTCTGGGCTGTGGACATGTCAGCCCAGCATGCAGATGCTGTGAAAAAGGACAAGCTCCATGCTGGGCATGAATAGGAAAATAAAACTTCCAGGATTTTTTGGGCAGCTGGTTTGCCTCTGTGAACTGAGTGCTGAACTGGGTGCTCTGTTGGTCGCTTCTCTTAGCTTCTTATGTCAGTGTCTTCATCGATCATTCTTCTACTACTAAGGTTGTGTACTAATGTCGGCTCTTCTCCTTGTAGACTTTCTGCCCCTGAAATGCAACGCTTGTGAAGAAGTCTTCTGCAAAAACCACATTGCCTATAACCGGCACAAATGTGCTTTTGCCTACACAAAGGTAATATATGCACATCTAAAGCATAAAACTTGACCAGTGCAAGACCTGGACGCAAAGTGTTGCGTAGCTAGGCAGCAACGCTTTCAAAATCCAGGTGATCGATGCTGAGCGGTGCCGATGGTGTTCCTAGATGCTGCATCGCATGAAAGAAACGGGGAGATCTCTGCCCCAAGGAGCTTACAATCTGAAATATTTTAATGCAGGGAGAAGCGAAGGTTAATGAAGAAGTGCAAAAGTACAGCTGGTAGGAGGAGTGAGGCAGAGCTGGTGTGGGTTTGAAGAGGGACGCCTTGACTCTAGAACCAACTGGAATAGGGGGCCTTTTGCCTACAGGGCAGTCCAGAAGTAGCTCCAATTACACCAGGCTTCAAAGTTGGCCTAGAATTGTGGCTAAAAGTGTGAGCTCATATTTCTTCTAAGCTGCACATCCACAAAAGAGCTTAGATGTTGCATGTCCAAACACATTCTGTTTCTGTCTTCCTAACTTAACATTTGCCAACAATTTTAGGACGTGCAGGTTCCCATCTGTCCCCTCTGTAATTCTCCCATCCCAGTAAGAAAAGGGGAGTCTCCGGATGCAGTTGTTGGAGTCCATATGGACCGAGACTGTAAACGTGATTCGGTGTTGCAGAAACCAAAGGTAAGACACTTACAAGCCAAAAACATGATACCTCCTATGGTGGAAGTGTATGGGAGCAAAACTGCACCCTTTTGAGAGCTTGGCTTGGAATGACGTTACACTCGCTGGCGTCCTTTATGAAAAGCCGAAGTTGGCTCATGGAATTGCCGTCCGAGTCATTTCCGCCTCACAACAACTCTGTGAGGTAGGTTAGGCTGAGAAGCGCGAGCCGCCCTTCATGGTTGAGGTATTTCCAACCAGATCTCCAACGCTGTCGCTGCTACGACACGCTAACTCTTGTCAGGCCTTCGGTCTGTCCGGAATTTGATGCCATCTTGGCATCTTTTCTGACTTAGCTGGAAGCCACGGTCCCCGCTCACCAGCGCAGTTCCTCTTTGCTGGTCTCTAGCAATTGCTTTACTGAATGGTTGTGGGTATTGCACGGATGGGGAAGCGTTGAATCGAGAGCCATTCCTTCAGGATGGAGCGGTTGTGGGAAGCCTCGTGGAGCCGACTGGGGCCAGAATGAGTCGGGGAAACCATTTCCTCTTTCTCTGCCAGCCCTTTCTTTCCTGAGCTTTGCTTAAAAAAAAGGAAAGAAAAAAGTACTGGAGTCAGTTTGCAAGAGGAGGGCTTCCTTTCCTGCTTTTCCTCTCCGTGACCCCTAAGTGGCACTGTGCTACAGCAAGAGCAGAGCCCATACACAGGGGGAGATGGTTTTTCCTTTTGCAATTAATGCTGCCATTTGCCTGTGCTAAAAACCTTTCTAAATGTGGTAGCTGAGTGCAGAAGTGAACTGGAAGGGCATAACCGTCCGGATACTTCAGCTGGTTCAGAACAGAGCAGGTAGAATGTTAACAGGGACCGGCAGATATGTACACATGACGCCGGTCCTTTTCCACCTACACTGGCTACCAGTTGAAGTCCGGGCGCAATTAAGGTACTGGTGATGACCTATCAAGCCCTAAATGCCCAGGACCTGGATATCTGAAGGAGCATCTCCTTCCCTTCCCTATCTGCATGCCCACCCCTGAAGATCTGAGATGGAGGCCCTGCTCCGGGAGCCCTCCTAGAACGGTGGCTACCCAGAGCAGGGCCATATCTGTGGTGGCGCCCTGATTATGCGATACTTCCCCCATAGGAGTTCACCTGGTACTGACACCTTATTCATTTTGGCACCTGGCCAAACCCTTTCTATTTTCCCATGACTTGACGATCTGAGTGTGATTTTAATGTGGGGTTTTATTGTACAGAAAATACTTGGATGCTGTGCTCCACTCTGCTTCATTGTAAGACCATCCTAAGACCTTGGTAGCGGATGGTATATAAAGTTTTAAAGACATTTATTTATTTAAAGCTTTGATAGACCGCCCATCTAGTGGCATCTCAGAATAGTTTACAACAAGAGCATAGATAGATAGATAAATAAAATATCACCTAAAGAACCAGTAAACCAGTGTGAGCAGAGAAGGAAGGACTCATGCAGAAAAGTCCTCAGTTTGATCCCTGGCACCCACGAATCTCTTCCCATTCAAACTCTCCCTAGCTTTCCCTCCATTAATATCAGGAAATACTTCCATTGGCGCCACATCAATCCCTTGTCCTGGGTTCCTTCTGACCCATACAATCCTGGGTGTGCTCAGGTAGAAGTCCCACTTCTGTGTTCGCTCCCTGGGAATACGTGCCTGGGATCCCAACCATAATCAAATGCAGTATAATCTTTTACATGCCGCGTTTCTCCCTCTTGCAAAGAACCCACGGCAGTTTCTGGGGGGCGCCTTGGGGTGGCACTGAGCCAGCTCTCATTTCATCTGGATGTTTTTGGCCTTTAGATCTTCGTGAACAGGTGCTTCCAGCCGGGATGCAAGAAGAAGGAGATGATGCAGCTGGTTTGCGACCAGTGTCACCAGAACTTCTGTCTCCAGCATCGCCACCCTCTGGATCATGTGTGCCAGGGACAGGGCCGGCCCATGTCCAAAGCAGGGTGAGGCTGTGGGTGTGAGAAGCCGCCGTCGCCTCTGGGCTCAAGCTGCTGAGTGCAGGCAGCATTGCCTGCTCTGGAGTCACATGAAAGGGAGTTCTGAAAGCCAGGACTAACTTCACAGCAGCTCTAGCGAGACCGTCTTCAAGTACAGCTTGCTTGGCTTGATGCCCTTGCTTCCTTTTGCAAGCCAATTCAATCACTGGCTCGTCTCCTTGCTGCTAAATATCGTATATCTCAGATGTCCGCCAGGTTTAGCATGCTAATGGTTGGGGGAAACTGTGGATAAATTGTGGATGTGTGCCTGGCTGGAGCAGGGAAACCTGAGCCGCATTCGTTACGGATGGCAGGGAAGCTTGATGGTGTTCAGTCCTAATATCCTGCCTGTATAGCTTTGTGCTTCCCAGGACAGAAGCTTATAACGAAATGCTGCTTACACGTGTGCAGTTCTTGGGATGAACCTGTGAGCAGGGCCGGTTCCTTGGCAGAGTTTGAGCCAGGATCTGTGCCGTGAAGCTTCAGGAATGACTGCAGGGGTAACGCTGCTCAAATGAAAATGGCAAAGCTGGAGGGAAAGGTGGCGTGTGCTGAACTTGGCTGCTTCCTTGCAGATGTGCGGCTCTGATGAGATCTCTGGACTCCAACAAGATGATGCTGAGCAACCCACTGCTGCAGGGCAGGTAAATGCCATTTTCCTCCTGTGCCCAGGGATCTGCTTTTGGTTGTGCTGCTAAACGTTTGGGGGGCCCACCCATCCAAAGCAGGTGCAAAACAGTGGCTTAGGGGACATTACCTGCTTTAGCTACAGCACCTGGTGAGCGAGCACTGCTTGGAGGTTATATGCCCTCCACATGAATGGGTCTACTTTTGAAATACAGAGGGCAAACATAAAACAAGACGGAGGCACTCGGAATGGGTGGAAGGCAACCTGGTCTTCATTATACGTCTTTGCAGAATGGTTCAGAGAAGCTTATAGTGGAACTCTGGGCACAGTGGCTGAGTTGTTTTAACTTCCTTTTGCTTAAATTGCCAGGACATAAAACTGATTCCAAGAGCAAACTGTAGTTTCTGATGTATTTGCCTTCAGCCTTTGCTTTGCAAAGAGCACTTAAAAATCAAAGCAACCTTGTGATGCTTTAAGCAAAAGCGAGTGTTGATCATGTTTGTATGTAAAACATTTGCAATGTTCAGGACTTGTCTGGAAGGACGCTGAGAACTAAAATGTTTTTAAAAGAATTTTTGACTGCTCACTCAGCTTCAGAAAACTATTGTATAATATTTAAGATGAGGGATGGGTCTGCAAGAAATTCATATTACATTTCATTGTTGCAAGTAGCTGAAATTCTGGACTTCTACAGCCTTTGCTTGAGGAAGGATTGTTTGTAGGACTATTTTAAAAAAATGCCTGAAATTCAAGCTGAAAAGCTTGAATTTTTGCAAATATAGAAGTTGTCTAACATATTTAGGCAAGGGGAGGGGGTGTCAGGTTGGCAAAAGCTGGTACAGGCAGCCATCTCTGAGCAAGGAGTTACTTCCACTGGCAATAGTTTGCGAGTTGCTAATAACCCATTTTTTCTCTTTCAGGGGCAAAGTAAAAAGCTGACATCCTCTGGTCTGGATCCTAAACTACACCAGTCTGTTCTGTCTATCAATATTCTGTTCTTTAAAACTTTTGCATCTTTTCTACATATTTGTACATAAATGCCTTAATAAAACTGACTTCTGTAATAGTTGTTCCTCAGAGTATCAGTCAGGTACAGGTATCTTAACAAAGCCAAACCTGTATAATCCAAACTAGAATACTACAAGCAGGAAGGAATAGGAAAACCTGGAGTGCACCCAGGAAATGGGGAAAAATTACAGGTGCCATAAGTGACTGAGAGTGTAATTCTAGGCCTGCTGAGGCAGAAAAGAGGCCTAGAGTTTCCAGCACAGTAGGCCATTTTCTGTCCCCACAGGCCTAGGATTCGGCCCCAAGCCAAGCTCTGTGTGAGGTTTTAACTTCACTCCCTTTCAAATTCCAGCTAAGGAGAGGAGTTAAACAAAGACCATTCCTGACACAGAAGGCCACAGCGATCCCGTATTTCTGCTCCTGTCTATCTGTGAATGCTGGTTTAAACTCCGCTTGTCTAATTCTGGGAAATGGGAGAAGACACTGATTTTTGGATGCAAGATTGTAGCTCGTCTGAAATTGGGCAAAAAGTTTCATGGCCTCTTCCAGACAGCTGTGGTGGTTGCAGTCCTGAAGGCATCCACACGATGGCACGAATAAGAAGTTTGTTTTATGGCCGCCAGTCTCTGTTCGCCTTTAAAAGGAATGAACACAACTTGGTCTCTTGGAACTATTCCGGTAAATGCATTTCTTGGAAGAGTGAAAGCTAGGAAAGAGACAAGGCGTTTCGTGCAGCTGACCAAAAGGAGCCTGTCCCCATTTAAAAGTATAGAGGAAGAGTCAATACTACCACAGTCTAGTTGATAAACAGCCTTAATCCTTCTCCGCCCCAATTTAAGCAGCGGCACTTCAGTAGGACCTATTTTATGTTGTTATTTCTTGTATTTTAATTTTATGTTGTGAGCCGCCCTGAGGCTTCGGCGAATGGGGCGGCATAGAAATGTTTTAATAAATAAATAATATTCTGGCGTTAGCTGTTTGGGGTAAAGGAGGCAAAATAATTTGTTTTCCACTTAAATCATGTCTGTTGTTATATGGGAATTGTAGGCATATCAGAGAAATGTATTTACAAAATGAACTGCAAGTTGGATGAACAGGATGAGGAATAAATGCTTACAAGCATATGAAAGCCAGCATATGAAAATGTATCTTTTAAGACAAGGTATTAGTGCCACTTTCTGAAAATGCATTTTATCTCAAGAGGATTGCCTCACTGCGGATCAACCATGGGGCTAAAATACAGGCATGCTATTATCCACTCGGCCATGGAGCTAGCTGGGCCAGCCTTGGACTCTCAGCCTAGCCTACTCACAGGGCTGTTGTGAGAGAAAATGGAAAGGAAGATGATTATGCAAGCTGTCTGAAGCTCCTTGCAAGAAAAATGGTGAGAGATAAACGTGAGAGGATGCTTTTAAAAAGTCCATCCAGGTAGAAAGCCTGGGCAAGGGGGGAGGTCCTCCCCATTGTCCAGTTGCTTTTCTGGGTTGGGCTGTTGGAACTCACAGGCTGAAATACTGGGAAGGCTTCAGCTATTTAAGATATTTGTATGCCGTCCTAACATACACAAATTAATGACCCAGGCTATGCAATCCTGAAGGAATTCTTTAAAGAAGCAGCTGCCTCAAGGGCATTACAGTCTGAGCCAGACCAGGAGACTGCCGGGGCAGCAGAATTAGCAGAATTCTCAGGGTGCTGGGGCATGCTGGGAAATGTACATAGCTAGCCTGGGTATCCGTGGTGGTCTCATTTTATTTATTGAAAACATTTGTATGCCACCCAATGGTGCCACAGCACCTCTGGGAGGCTCACAGCATGAGATAAAAACACAATAAAAACCACAACACATTACACATTAAAAGCAATAAAATACAGCAAAACATATAAAACAGAGGTCTTTGGCAATTGGTTATTAAATATTTTTTAAAAAGGAAGGCCTTCACCTTTTTTTATCACTAAAAAAAGAAGTTAACTTCCTCTTTTAAACCACTGCATGAAGTTTATCTGTGATTTTTTTTCCTGTCCAGGTTTCATTGTTTTATGCAGAAATTTATTAAGTTTGGTATCTTTTGAAGAATGTGAGATGCCTCTGGAAACATTTAAAAGGCAGAGACCCGCAGTGTTGCAGCTCTACTGAGCCTGCTTGAGTTTTGCGCATCTTTGTGCTAAGGAAGCGCTGTGGCCGGGGGCGGGGGAGAGGAGACGTCATGCGCAGTGGGCGGAGCTATGGAAATGAGGGAAGACGATCTTGGCGTCCAGTAAGGAACGCGGGAGGAAAAGGGCGCATGCGCAAACCCCCCTCGCCTCGTGCTGCTGCCGACGTCGCCATCATGGCCTCGTCACGTGCTCTTCCGCAGCACCGCCCTCGCATCGGAGAAACGCGCGAGGAGGAAGCGTGTGGACAAGGGGAGGGCTTAGAACGCGAAGGCGGCGGCGTGGGCCCCCATTGGCTCCGCTTCCTGATCGAGAGGTAGGGCGCTCAATGAGGGCTGGCGCGTGGGCCGGCTCGCAGCCAATGGGCGCGTGAGTGCGGTCCGCGGCGGCCACGGGGAGGCCGGCTTGAAATGTGCGCGAGGAGGAGCGTCCGCAGCAACCGCCGCGTCCGAGTAGGCGGGCCTGAGCGCGAGGTGGGTGGGTGGTTGTCCGGCGGGCGGGCGGCGGCGGGGGGACGAGGCCCTGGGGGGCGGCGGCCCCTTGGCGCTGTCCTCTTGAGGCGGAGGCCCCGGGAAGACGGGAGTCGGGCGGGTCGTGTGAACCCCGTGTGGGGCGAACGCGTGTCAGGAAGGCCGGCGGGGAGAGCACTGTTCTCTTGTGAGGTCTCCCTCGTCCGCCGCTTTTTACTCTTAGCAAGGCTGTGAAGTAGCCCCGGCTGGAAGCTTTGCTCTATCAGGCTGAGAAAGAGGAACTAAGGTCAGGCAAGGCGAGGTTGTGAGAACCCCGTTCTGATACCCAACAGGGAGCACTGCAGCAAAAATCAAACATGGTATTTCTGGGGTTGTTTTCATAGCTTGTTGGGGCAGCGGGGCCAGTGAGACCTGCATTCAGACGGTGCGATGACCTACACGCAAGGATTGACTTGTTGAACCCTGTTGAAAGTTGGGTTATGTTGCTGGAACTCAACCAGGCTAAGAAACCATGGCTTGCGGACCACATAAAGAGGGCCTGTGGTTTGTCTTTGGGTTCTGAACTGTGGGTTGTTCATGGTTAGCAAACAATGGTTGGTTACCCCAGGTGGGTTCAGGCAACACAGTAACCCATGTTTCCACAACACCACGGTTCAACAACACCAACCCAGAGTGTGGGTTATTTTGTTGATTGTTCTCAGCCACTGAATGTGTATGGAGTAACTGGCTGAAATTACATGGTTCAGTTAATCAGGGTGGACACAGCTAGTGGTCCTTTAGATATTTTGGATATTTTCCATCATCCCTCAGTATTAGCTATGCTGCCTAGGCTGATAAGAGTTTTAGCCCCAAACAACTGGAGGGTCAGAAGTTGTCCCCATGCGTAATGGGTACACATGCATTTTACATTTGCCGAGTGAGAGCAGCGCTTCATACTTGTGACTAATTCTTCATGGACTCTGGACTATGAAAACTTAATGCTACAGCAAATCTGCTAGTTTTTAAAGCCAGAAGCCTGCTTCTGCTGCAAAAGACAAGCACCTCTACTCCTCCGGAGGTTCTTACTAAGCTCCCTCGGATCAGCGCAAGAACGCATCCAAATGGAGGCCTGCATAGTCGGATGCAGGAATGACTAAATGGTTCTGGTCCTTGTGCATGTGGAGATGCACAACTTCCAGAGCCAGCTAAGGTTCCCTTATGGAGCTGTGTGGATTCCAGTGCCACAACAAATCGGTTAGTTTTGAACTAGTTGCTGCAGAAGACTAAAAGGTTAACACAGTTGTCCTGCGGGAAGTAGGCTTCTGTGATACATCTAACATGTCACATGTGAAACGGAAGTATTGTGGAACCCGTATTATTCTGCAATTGAAACAATTGGAATAGCGTTGTGGCATCTCCGCAGCTTAAACAAATGCATTTTCACTTTGTGGGGTGCATTACTTTGCACAGATACCTATATACATCGAAAATTCATTGTAAACAGTGGGGCCAAATTGGCACAACATGTGCAAACTGACTTTTCTTTGTAAAGACAAAAGGTTAAAAACAGAGTACAGTGCGGGCAGGGATAATTTTCCTAGGTTTGTTATGCTCATTAATCAACCTAATTGATCACTGTCCTTTTGTTGTATAGATTTTTTTGTTAGTCAAATTGTTCCAAGTGGCCTTGGAGTGCCTCAAGCAGTTGCTATTATATTAACTCAGGAAAGCTGCAGGTGGCCTTTCTGAAGTTTGCTTCCGATCAGATAGTTGAGTAATGAAGAGGACTGGATTACACTATTTCCAGTAAAACTGGGAATCTGCTGCCTGCGTAAAAATGACTGCTTATGGAGTCTGTCTCAGTCAAAAGGACAAATGAAGTATAATTTCCTTAAAATGTTTCAGGATTATTTCTAGATCGAGAAATAAATGTTATTAATTTAGAACATCTATTAATGCAGGCCTTAGAACATCTGATTGCGAGTTGCTATATACATGTTTGTAAATCACTGCTTTTTCATTAAAAAAATGAATTTGGGTAGAGGGTTTTTTTGTCCAAAACTCACATGCCGATGCATCTGTCCACGTTATCTAGCTTAGTATGCTCTCAGCAAGGTACTCTGCCATCTGTTCTTGTGGAGCATAGCACAACAAACAAATCTAGTTGCCTTCCGCCATGGCACTGTATGACACATTATGGAGGGAGTTAATCCCCAGCTCACTAGTCCAACTTGCCTAGAGGACAATTAATTCCTGTTTTCAAATGGAGCAATTAATCAGTTGCATGAAAGTAAAGCTGTATACCAGATCTTTCCAGGAGATTTTTTGAAAGAGCCCAAAAACACAAGTCAGCCCTCAGCATTTGCCAGATTCATTATGGAATGAAGCTTTAATAGGTGTATTAAAGGAAGGACTTTGATGGATTGAATTTCTCTGTAGTAGTGCGGGATGTTCTTAAATACAGAGGAGCCTTGAAAATAGAAAGGCCAACACTGTAGTCTGAGATGTTTAACTATGAATCCACCAGTCTCTGTTCTGTTTGTAGGCTTGGCTGCATGTAAGAAAGGGAGAAAGTTAATAAATTTGGGTGTTGACCAAGTTCAGTTTATAGATTTATTCATTATATTTGTTTACTGCTTAAACGGCAAATGCCTTTGGAGTAGTTTACAATCATAAAAATAAACAGTAACATAACCATAAATAAATACTAGTACTGTTGCATTATTTTATGTATCAACCTAAGACAATATAAACATGGTAAATTTACCCAGCCCCACTGTAGATCAAGGAAATTCAGGACAGATAAAGGAAGGAGTTGGTCATTTAGTTAAACTATGGGCTTCTCTTCCGAAAGATGTACTGATGATCCCCAATTTGGAGGCTTTAAAAGGGGATTGGGCAAATTCATAGAGGGTAAAACTCAATGGCTACAGGTCCCGGTGACTTTAGGCTGCCTCCAGTAGCAAAGGGCATATGCCTGTGTACATTTGCTGCTGGGTAACTGCCTGTGGGTTTCTTTGGGCAGCCGTTTGGCCAATACAGGAGCAGACTGCCAGGTTAGACGGATTCGTTGTTTTATCCAGCGGGGCTCTTCTTGTGTTCTTAAATTCTTCCTGGCATGAATGCTAACTTTGTGTAATTCAGGAGATAATAATAGAGACCAAGTTAAAGTGAAAAGCAGTACATTTGTTTACAGTGGTGAGTTCTCATATGTCCGTTTACAGCAGTGGGGCTTCAGTGTGTGTTTTGTGGAACCTCCATGAGCAGATCGTAGGAAAGGCAAGTCTCCTTGACATACGGCTTTCCTGCCTCTACTAAAGTGTAAAGAAGTGTTGGCTGCATTCTGACATATTCATCTGAAGATGAGCAGTGCAGAGGAATAACATAATCCACCACGGGGTCTCCATGACATCTGCACGATCAGAGCAAGCTGTTTTAACCCCCAGTGCACGCTAGGCACCATTTCCCCAGTTATCTACCTGTACATGCTTTGCAGTGCCATCTGGAACACAGTAACAGGACTTTATTTATTCATTTAAAACATTTCTATGCCGCCCCCATCGCAACAAAGCCTCGGTGCGGCTCACAGCATACATACTTTCTGGCGAGCGTCAACTCTCAGATAACCTGTTGTGGGGTTACTTGAGGACGGGTTTCCCCTCGGATAAGCTATGCTGCTTGGGTTCAAACAGTGCGACAAGCTGTACCTCAGTGGTTAAGGAATTGGTACCTGGCACAGGAAGGTGCTATAACAACCAACCTTACTTGGTTTTGTGAATCAACCCACAATAAAAAAGAATTCCCCTGAAGGTAGAAAATCCTGAGATTGCTAGCTTTCAGGATGGGAGGTTTGTGAGTACAAATGGTTGTATGTTGGCTTGCTGAACTTTCAGGGAACCTTGTGGCTAATGCGGCAGGATAACAGTGCAATAAATAAAGAAATAAATAATAGTAAATAAACTTTCAGGGAAGAAAACTGGCATTCCTGTCTATGACTTCTTATGACCGACTGAATGATAGTATAACACCTTTAAGAAAAACCATGTGTTTTAATTCCTGACCCTAGAATGGCAAATAACAGAAAATCTACAAAAATGAAGATGGACAAGAAAAAGAAAAAAAATAAGCTTCTCGTATCAGAAAAAGAAAAGGTGGAAAAGAAAATGAAAAAAATGAAACATCTTATGTCAGAAACAGAAGAGCAGGTACATGAGCCCGATTTGAAAAAACAAAAACTGGAGGTGAGTAAACCATGAGTACATTGGATTTGTAGTTGTTTTCATATACCCAGGTGCTGTTGGTCGTCCTAGTACTTGAAAAGTTCCGACATGCAAGTATCTGCAAAATCTCTGCACTGAATGAAGAGAAGATGGAGTTAAAGTGGACTGGGAAAGGTTTATTGAAGGTGCAGCTTCAATAGTATTGTACTGAACCGTGAGGTCTTGTATTTTGACTCTTAAGCCCATACATAGGAGCCTCGCTCAGTCCTTCATCTCTCTTCTAGCCGTCTACAAACTGTGCACACACAGTTCTGTAAATATGCAGAACGAGCGTTCAAGCCAGTAATCCTAAAGTTCTTTACCCCCCTGATATTTCATTTGCACAGTGCCAACAGCAGGGATGAAAAAGTGTGGTCTTCCAGATGATTTTGGAGAACTCCACAACTGACCATTAGCATTTTTCTGTATTCCACTTTGATATAAACTGCCCAGTGTATGTTGAGGAGTTGTCCCAGCAGAACCAGGAATCTGCACTCCTCACTCCACTCCACACATTGCAGTCTTCACGTGCTTTTCGAGGAGAAATTATGTAAGAAAAATACAAGATATGCAATGGTCTTCAGAGGCTGCCATTAGTCTCACAGCCTGACTCATGTTAGCAGGACCTGACCGGCCAGTCCCAACATTCCTGCTGAGATAAGAGGAAATTCCTCATATGCCCCCTACTTCCCAGCCCTGTGGAGATTAGGCCTTGGCCTATACCGAATACAGAGGACAGGGAACTTGCATGCAATAAACAACATGCCTAAACGCAGACAACACCAATGTAGCATTAAATCGTTTTGATAACTTCCAGCATATTATGACTGAAATGTATTATTGGAGTGGTAGTTTTATAACTGAAATTCGTGGCTGTCCTTAAGAAAACAAGGTTTGTTCTTTCATTTTTATACACAGCCAATGTTATTGTTTAATTTTAAAGCTGGGAGATGAGATGCTGTATGGTTCAGTTTTGACATGGGGAGAATATATTTCACCAGCGAGTTAAGGTTCTGCACTTAGCTGTTTTTGTTGCAGATTTGCAAGCTCAAAAGTATAAAATATAAAATTCTAATTGTTTTTGGTGTGGGCTTATCTGGACGATTGTTGAAATGTTTCTTAAGGAAGGGTTGAATCTCAGTTTTATGTTGGCTATGCTTCTAATGAAATTTGTTTCAACAAAAATTCTGCTAGCATATTGCCTTAAGACATGTTGACCTTTCGGAACAATCTTGTCATATTGATCTTTCATCTATCCATTTCCTTCCTTTTATATTAAATAGCAACAAACAACTTAAGTGCTATGCTGAACATTTGTATGAATGGTCCTGGAAGTCACATAACGCAGGTAGAAACGTATTGGCCCTGAGCGCCTAACAATGCTTAGGAGATAAGGAGCAGGGCAGTGCGGTTGTGCTCTCCCTCCCTCCCTTCCTGCATACACATTCTGCTTTCTTTCCTTTGTAGCTTTAATTGTGCAGCTAAGCTTTATATCAGCACTGGCATTGACCATAGCTAATGGTAACCAGGTTAACTAGAATTTGCTAACCAGTTTCAAGCAGCAGTTAAGGGAATGAGAAGCCCTGGCTACTGATAACTCAGATTAATGCCCTAATGTTAGTCTAATGCCCTTTTAGGTTATTGCTGAGGATACCTTTATATCATCCCACAAAATTTAATTATCAGTCTTATTTGATGTAATGCTAGATCAATGCGAGTCATATTTCTCATCTTAAAAATTGTAGTAAAAGACACTTAAGTACTGTGCTAGTATATCAGGAAGATCTTAGAAGTCTAGTTGCTGTCAGTTTCAGTGTTGGTTTTGGACAGATCACAAAAAACGTTGATGTTGGGCTGGAGCTTGTGGCTTAGAGCTAAATTAATCATGAATACTTGTTTGCTTATTTAATGTGTTGACCTCCACAGGCCTTTCACTATTTCATCCCATCTTTATAATGTCAATAGGACAGTATTGGTTTATTCTGCTCCTTTTCTCAACTGATTCTCTGTGGACGATTGAACTATTTGCTTGGTACACCTGCGTGATGAATGGAACTTCTACCTTCCCCAGTGTGGTGCCTTCCAGATGTTTTGGTCATCAGCTACCATAACCCCCACCTACTGTTGCAGCTGCCAGGAATTCAAGGAGTCCATGTGATCTGGCATGAAGTTCTAAGCAAGCAAGGAAATGTGGGTCATACAGCGATCCCATTTTTTGAGGCACAAGAGTAGCGCAAGATCTTTCATATTAATGAAAGTGTTGTTAACAATTGCTCTGTAAGCCAAGTATTGGTTATTACTGATACAGCTATCATCTGAAATTGTTGACCAAACAACTTGGCCCAGATTCTTAAAATAGGCCCAAATGGGTGATTAGAATAAATTACTGCAACTCTATATTGTAGACTTTATTTGAGGAATAAAAATGTTTTATGAAGGACAAAGGGATTGCATTCTCTTTTACCAGAACTATCTGATCTAACAAAATTGCCTTGTATAATATAATGTGGCTTGATTTAGATGCATTAGCATTAACATAAGCACAAGTTTCTTAAAAGTCCAGTTATTTGTAGTGTTTTGATTATTCCCTGTATCCCCGGACATGCATTCTAGAGGGAGCCCTATTCAGATACAAGCACTTGTATGATTTGACCGCAAAATACCTATAACCTGCAGAAACTGTACCCTATTGATGCTAGTAGGCCTATTCTAATAGGCACCCAAACCAGAGATCCTGATTGGCTGTATTTATGCCAGTGCTCATTCCTGGCAGGTCAACCCTTGTTTCTCATCACTTTCATTGTATTTCCCCACGGAGATCCATAAGGTTCCCTCTTGTCTCCTCCTCCAATATACTGCAGTGGTCAATTTCACCTTCATTACTAGGTGCCATGTTGCCCTTCAGGTTTCCTTCTTGGCTGCTGTAGCTGATAGAAAAATCCATGGGTTGCCCATCTTGTGGTGCAGTTTTTCTGTGCACACCTTGTCACTGCAAGAAGCCAGAAAGGAGGATGGGCAAAATACATGGGGGGAAACAGGCTGGAATAGCTACATCTGCTTCAAGGTGTAGATTGATTGATTGATTGATTGATTGATTGCCACCTGAAAGCCCTTCGCTTATCTGTAGTAACATGTCGGTTATCCCAGTGTAAATTTCACACTGAAATTTGAAATATGGGCATTTGGGTGTTTATGGGAAGAGAGATAACCCTCCAGACTGAAGCCATGTGAACACTATATGAGGAAATCTGTTCCTTATGAGCAAGACTTAAATTAGTCATGGGGGAATCTTGATTTGTTTGCTTTGTAAATTGGCAGCACACGTCAGTATTGTTTTGCTTATTAATTTAGCCTTCTGCAATGGCAGCAAAATCAAGAAAGTATACAAAAATTAGTTTGAAATACTTACACATAAATAAGGCTGAATAATTTTGCATTCCTTTGGATAGTTTTCTAATAGGCTGAACAAATTTCCCAGGAAAGCATATTTGCAGCTGGGAAAACAGTTCCTACTTTGAAAATGGTTTTCCCAGGCAAAAAGCTTGCATCTCCAACTGTTTCTGGTATGAACACAATATTTTGTGTATTATTTAGTAGGGTTTCAAAAGGTTAAGAATCCTTCATCAGGCATTAACCATCAGGATGCAAGATCATATATAAAAATTTTGTCCTGTAGTTTAGATTTTTAAATTCACACTAAGTTCAAAGTATGGAGAAGTAAGACAAGAAATGTAAGGTTCCATTTTTCCTAGATGCTGTCTCATTGGATATAAAGTAGCACACATTTTTGAAATCCCTAAAGATTATTGCTTGGCTTATGTTTTTTGAAAAACATTTCCCCATTCCCACATTTCCTTATTTTAAAAATCTAAGGCATCTAACAGTAAAAATGTAAAATAAAGCAATAAAATAGGATTTCTTAAATTAGAAGTATCTAGTCTCTATCTTAGTTGAGTGTTGTTCCCAGAAGTGCTTTAGCTTACTGTTAGCCAAGTGTATGGTGAAAGTCTTTTCCTTTTGTGTTCTCATCAGCAGTTTCTCATAAATATCATATATGCATTTGCAAATCAGAATGCAAACCCTGTGGTTGTCAATATAAATAATACTAAGCTGGGTCAACCATTGATCTCCCTATGTGTAAGACGGTTTCCTAAAATGGGGTTATAATTTCAGGAATTAAAAATGTGTGGCCCACTTCTGTGCCTGCAAAGAGAATATTCCTCACAGCTACAGAAGTGTTCTGTTTGCAATGTGCTTGCTGGAGGAAACCTTAGATATAGTGCTGTATTGGTAAATAATCACCCTTGATAGATTACCAGTTTGAGTTATTGTAGTGAGCTGTCATAGCAGATAGTTATGAATTGTCCACTCCAGTTTTTGGCTTCACAAGATAGCAAAAGCGAGGTGATGCTGCTAGCTTTTGGATTAGATCCTTATTATAATGTGTGATGATGAACAGCTACTGAGTAAAACCTACTCTTTAGTAAAACTTTCTTACTTGGAAATGTATCTCTCATTTTGATGCCCATTCACTTAGTGTAGAGAGGCCCAACATGGCTCTTCTTGTATAAAAAAGCACATGGAAACATGAGATGACAGAAATGGTTGAACTAGCAGTTCCCTTGGATAGGCATATCCAAAGTCTTTCAGACTAGGAAGTAACTCTGGCTCTTCTCTGTGGAGAAAGTCATATGATGTGCAGTTGACTTCAGCTGAGAACCCATATTATTTATTATTGGATTTATTTGCTGCTACAGTAGCTCATATCTGGGCTTCCTCTTCAGCTCTCAGTGCATGAGGCCTATGTCACAGTGAGCTCATGAATTGGTACTTCAGGATCTGATTGTGATACTTAATTTTAAATTCCCATGTTTTGCACCAGCTAATAATATTATGCAGACAGCCAGTCAGTTTGACTCATGCCAGAAGTATCTTGCATGGAGCACTGAATTCAGTAATAATAATACAGGCGCTCAAAGGTA